CATCCGCACGGCCAAGAAGCTTTTAAACATCCGCACGGCCAAGAAGTTTTTGGGCGCTGCAAGAATTGCTTCTCCCTGCAAGGTCGTCTGTTGGTTAGCATGCTTTGGCTCTGATGATGTCTAGTTTTGAGGCGCCTCAAAACTACACTTCTCCCTGCAAAGTCGTCTGTTGGTTCATGCTTCGCATGCTTTGGCTCTGATGACTGAAGAGGTGGGGGGGTGAGGGGGAAATTGGGAAGCGATTGAAGATGGGAAAGAGGAGAAGTGAGGGAAGAGGGCAGAGAGGGGGAAGAGGGGTTGGGTGGGTTTCGGGTTGAGAGGGGGAAGAGGGGAGATTGGCAATGGGATGGGTTGAGACGTTTCAAGGCAGGCCCAAGGCTCACCAGCAGTCTCGTCTTGCTTTGAGACATCTCAAGGCAGGAAAAATCTTCGTTCTCTGTAGGTCGATTTCCCAACAGACTCACCTGCAGCCACGTCTTGACGACCCACAGAGGGTTGGTGGCGAGGACGTTCGCCATACCTGCTCTGCTGCTATGTCTCTCAACGCTTGGTGATTTCCTGTAGTTTCCTGTACCTTGAACTTCGAACAGACAGACTCACCTGCAGCCTCGTCTTGACAACCCACAGAGGGTTGGTGGCGAGGACAGTCGCTGTGCCTGCTCCTGCTGCTGCCAGCACACTCCGCCCCAGCGACAGCTGCTGCTGCTGCTGTGGCCGTGCCTGCTGGCCCTCCTGCCCCTCCTCCTGCTGCTCCTGCTGCTCTGAACCCTGCTCTGGTGATTCTTCGTGGCTGCTGGGAACTGGGGTGGTGACACGGGTTAAGAGAAGAGTCCGATTTTAGCTATTGATTAAATACATACGAAAGAGACATGTCATGCCACACCACCAAAACCGAAGGCTTCATCAGATACAGTCACAGTTCATACTAGCACATCACAAATCGCTTCAATCACCTCACCTGCGCCTGAGGGACTGGGCTCGCTACAGTATCCGCGTTAGTGGCATTCAAGTTCAAAGCTTCTGCTAGCTGTGTGTCACAACCAATCCGTTTCAATCACTATGATTGCATTAAAGCCTATTAAAAGCTCACCTGCGCCTGAATGACTTGGCTCGCTTAACATCCGCTTTAAATGGTCGTACACTGAAAAGTACACCTGGCAGAGGGAAAGAGACAGTGGGTGAAAGAGACCCAATGAAAGAGGGAAAGAGGAGGATTCACTAGCGAAACGAACGGCAATGCTTGGACTGGCTGCCGAAATATCCGCTTTAATGGTCGTACACCTCTTTACAGACCAAGCACACCTGGCGGAGTGATAGAGATAATAGGTGCAAGTGGCTGGATGAAATAGGGAAAGAAAGAAGAAGAGGCGTTGGGAGAAGGAACGATAATGCTTGGACTGGCTGCCTAAGGAATCCGCTCTAGCAGTCGTACACCTCTTTAGAGACCAAGCACACGTGGCGGAGTGATAGAGATAGTGGGTGTATTGGGTGGAGTGGTAATTCTTGGACTGGCTGCCGAATTATCCGCTTTACTGGTCGTATTAGAGACGAAATACACCTGGCGGAGTGATAGAGATCAATGTGAAAGCACTCACCGCCCAGTTAGGAAGCAGAGCCACCATGGTCGGGGAGAGCCCCCTATAGAGCCCCCTCAGGCCCTCCGTGCGCCAAATGGTCTGCAGCGACCCCGCTATCACGCCCATGCGCCACCGGCCCGCCGCTGCTACCTTTGCCCCCGCGCCTGTTCCCCCCACTGCTGCTCCCCCAGCTCCCCCCGCTGCTCCTAATCCCCCTGATCCTCCCGCCCCCCGCGCTGCTTCTGCTGCCGCGGCAGCTGCGGATGCGGACGGGGGAGTGGCGAGCACCGTTGCCATCCTAGCGAACGGCGGCGGGGAGGCAGATGCTGCTGCTGCTGCTCCCCCTCCTCCTGTTGGCGCTGCTAATGGCCTCGCGCTAGCTGCTGCTGCTCCCCCTGCTGCTGACGTGGAGGCTTGTGGTGCGCCCATCACTTGTAGACGGGTTTTGACCACATCTAGCGGCGCTACAAACGTGGCGGCTACAGCTCCTGAAGAGGAGAGGAAGGGGGAAAAGAGGGGGGAGGCTTGTGGTGCGCCCATCACTTGCAGGCGGGTTTTGACCACATCTAGCGGCGCTACAAACGTGGCGGCTACAGCTCCTGAAGAGGGGCGGGGGGAGAGCGGGGGGAAGTGGGGGAAAGTGGTCACTTCCCCATTCCCGCCATCGTCCAGCCTTCTGGTCACTTTTTGAGTCGACTAAACAATCTCACCTGCGCCAGCGCCAGCCATGCCGCTGAAGCTTCGACCGCTGCTCTTCCGGCAACTCCCCCATGCATTTCCCCACCACCCTTCTGGTTACCCCCTTCCCGCCATCGTCCTGCCTTATGGTTTCTTTGTGAGCTGACTAAACAATCTCACCTGCGCCAGCGCCGGCCATGCCGCTGAAGAGCTTCGATCGCTGCTCCTCCGGCAACTGAGCCATCCATCTCCCCACCACCCTTCTAGCTACCCCCTTCCCGCCATCGTCCTGCCTTCTTGTCGCCTCCTCCCCATCATCCCGCCCTGCAGCGCGTGCCGACGCCAGATCGCCGTCCTTGGATCAGCCTTCTCCAGCCGTCCGATTTTCCAGAGCCGCTGAATTTGGTCTTCCGAAGCCGTTAGATCCTGTCTTGGTATCGGGGACTTGAGCACTCCCCTAGAGGCAGATATCCACTACCGAGCCATAATGGCGCAGAACAGGGTTGAAGAGCGGTCTACAGTGGTCTTAATTCGTTGAGAAGGGCAGTAACGGACCGACTAGAGCAGCCTCATTGGGGACCTTCTTGCATCGGTTCTGCGGATCGTTTAGGTTTTGACACGTCTCAGGAAACGTTTTTGAAACGCAGCGACGAATGGGCTGCCTTAAAGTGTCGGGGTATTCGCGGTTCGAAGGCCTCACACATGAATAAAAAGCGTGCTGATGAAGTTTGCGAGTTGGCGATGCTAAGCTTCCGCGAAATGCGAAGGAGCGGTTCGGAAGGAAGAATCGCTATTCAAGGTAAGCACTTACAACAATCCCTGGATCGAGAAAATGAGTTCCTAAGTAACAGACAGGTGGTGGTAAGTCCCTAAAACTCAGAATCCTGACACCTATCATCCATTGCCCACTGTCTGGACTGGAACTATGTATGAGTCGAACCGGCGTCCTTGATCAGGGAGGCGAGCCTGAACCGCAGGCTCGTGCTTGTACTTCCGAACTTCACAGGCAGTAAGTTTCAAGGTAAGGGCGGCCTCGGCAGGTGCCTAGCCTGGAACTTCGCAACTGTTCCCGCCACTTCATTCCCAAAACCAGACCAGCTGTTACGGTTCGGTGTTCGGGCTTGGGAACTGATTTCAGCTCGGTTTGGTCCGTTCCCAGCTTCGAGGTGCTTGACATAGCCTGGGAGAGTGACGAATGGGGGATCTAGGAAAGAGTGTCTAATGACGGCCAATGATAACACTTACGCGGCCTCCAAGACGCCGCGTGTTTGGCCAGTTCCCAAGTGTCACTTGATGAGTGGTAAAAAAAAACCTAATCCGCAGTGCGCTGAACAGAGATAGTTGTATCTGCTAAGAGCATTCGCGGAACGCATACAGATGAACTCTGCGCTGAAAGTCCCAACACTGATTTTCGCCACTTATAAGTTAGTTTCGTCGAGTTTTTACCAGATGGCACCAGAAACAATAATATCATCCACTCAGAATATACTGCATTATGTTCTCTAGTTGGTGTACTTATTTACACGCGAACGGGCCACGGTGATTGGGACCTTCGCAGAAGTCACTCGCCCCACATCACTCCACCGACTTGCGATGTGATATGCGACTTGAATTATCGAGATGCGACGCTCTCCTCCGCCGTCAGCCACCGATGTCGCGTCGTCCAGAACTACGGCTTCGCCGAACCAGCTCCTACAATCACTTGGGCCCCGATTTATCGGACGTGCTTCGGAGGGGTCACAGGCCAGCTTGGGGGGGAGGGGCTCTCCCTCGAATATTGATTTGATCCGCCAAGCCCAGCACCTCTCCCCAACCAATCGTACCGAACCATTTCTGGCTGTTCGGGAATTCGCCAGATCGCTAGCCCCTGAAGGTTGCCTTTTCGCCAAACGCTCATGACTTCTCGCGACTTCGCCTAGCCACTCGTGGAATTTCCTCCATTTTCAGCTCCGGCGTCGCGGAGATCATTCAACACAGGGGTGCGCGCAGCCTAGTCTGCTCGAACCCGAGCCAAGTGCCGAGCAGATTCTCAGACCCGATCGAGCCGAGCCTCCCTTCAACTCCCCCTCCAGACCAGAGTCACCCCCCAAATCTACGTTTCCCCAAACCTTTCCCCCCGAACCTCAGCATAAATTCTACTCGGCTCGGCTCGTCGCTCAATCATCTCTATGAGAGGCATGTGATGTGACGCCGTCGTCGCCACTCTTTTCGCCCTCCACGCGCCCCCCCAACTCCAACCCACCCCACCCCACCCGCGCAAAACGAGCCGACCAACCAAATCCATCGACTTTCCGTCGGTCGGCCTGAAGGTCATTCTCAGCAGCGGAAAACGCGTGCAGTTACCTCCCATCACTTAGACGGAGCGGACAGCAGACGAGCAGATGAGCTAATGAGCTGGCACTCGTCATTCTATTCTCAGAACATCACTCGAGGTGCCCCATAGCGTACTAAATTTGCGAGAAAGATTGCTCGTCGCGCCCCATCGGCAAATACTAGCACCTAGCGAGCAACGGGAGCCTTCAACCTCCGCGCCACTCTGCAGAAACCTGAGCCTTGTATAGCGTGTGAGACGAACGTTGCCTTTACCGAATCGTTTTGCGAGGATTAAAAGAATAAACAGAAAGTAGCTTTGCGCTGGGCAACATCTTGAGTGTTTTGAGACGTCTCAAAACGCTGGGCTACATCTTGAGGCGACTCGGCAAACATTTTGAGTTGACTGGGCAAAGAAGCCGTCCTTGAGCCGACATGGGGTACGACGAGGAGCTTGGCGGGGCTGCGGAAACGGCGGGGACGCCAGGGTCGGGGTCGATATTAATGTCTGGCGTGGAATCCCCGACTGCGGCCAAGGCGAAGCTGAAAGAGGTTCGTACCGTGCCGCGCGTGCCAGTGTCGCAAAATGCAGACTTTCCGCCTTTCCGAGTTTCTTGCCCCGTTCTTCGCATTTTAGTCCCCATTTTAACGAGAGCGTGTTTCTTCCGCCCATATTCCACTCCCTTCCGTGCCCCCTTTTCGCCGCCCTTCCGCGTCCCTCTTCCCCGCCCTTCCGCTCCCCCCTTCCCCACTCTTCCGCGCCTCCCCTTTCCGCGCGCGCGCATGTCACCACCAGGGGCGTCCCCTCCCCACATGCCTTCCGTCCTTCGTTCTTACCAGACTCCTTCCTTACCTGTCGTCCTCTCCCTGCCCCTTCCTGCCCCCTTACTGCCTTCCCCACATTCCCTCCATCCTTCGTTCTTACCTGACTCCCCCTTCCTTTCCCCTTCCGGCCGCCTTGCTGCCCCATTCATGCCGTCAACTTCCTCCGTTCTCTTCCTTCTTCCCCCATTTCCCCCTCCCCTCCCCTTTTCCCCGTTCGCTTCCCCTCTTCCAGCCGTCAGCGGCGGACCTAATGAAGGCGCAGCTGAAGGCGGAAGCCAGCGCGGGGAAGGGCGCGGGCGCGCGGCGGCGGAGCTGCGGGTGGTGTGACGTTGCCGCGTGGACGGGCCTCGTGGTGTCGCTGGCGCTCGTGGGGTTCGGCCTGGCCATTCTCATCCTCGCCCTCACCTTCAACACTGAGGTGCGTCTTTACTGCTCTCGCTCTCTGCCAATCAGTGGCAAGAAACCCACACTGCTGCGTGGACGGGCCTCGTGGTGTCGCTGGCGCTCGTGGGGTTCGGCCTGGCCATTCTCATCCTCGCCCTCACCTTCAACACTGAGGTGCGTGTTTACTCTTAGGATCGTAAACACCTTAGTCGGCAATAGTCTACTTGCTATTGCTTATCGTGTTCTCCATGATCTCACGAATCCAACGATATGCGCAGCTCTGCTTGAAGTTGTCAATACACACTTCAGCAATTTTCAGAATCTCAATGTTGTGTTTTCCAGAATGAGTACAAGCAGTTTTATAGTCAACCAAGGTACAAAATGCGATTCGTAACTTCACTTGTTTCCCAAGTAACCGCGTGCGCCTCGTTTCACCCCGAGTCGCACACGCAACCGAACCGAATTCACCGAACACTCCTTGAGCCCGAATCTGGAAATTTCTCGAACACGCCTTGGTCTCGCACCACATTTTCCCCCGTCGAACTCATTCTCGATTCTTCTCCACTCTTCTTCCTTCATTTCTCCAGTTTCTTCCCGATTTCTCTCCCGCTTTTCACGCCTTAGCTTCCAACGTCCACCGTAGGCCGATTTCTACCGAAATCACTCTAGAATCTCCCACGAGCTCCATTCCGCCGCCATTCCGCATTTCACCGTAGGTTCCGTGGTTGGGCGAACCAACCCTAACATTTACTGCTCTCGCTCTCTGCCAATCAGTGGCAAGAAACCCACACTGCTGCGTGGACGGGCCTCGTGGTGTCTCTGGCGATCGTGGGGTTCGGCCTGGCGATTCTCATCCTAGCTCTCACCTTCAACAGCGAGGTAGGCCGTTGTCCCCCACCGAGACATGCCTCTCCTCGCGTCTTTTAGGGGTTATTTTTTTTTAGGAGTGCGCCGATTAGTGACAAGGGACTCAGATAGCTTCGCCCTGGCAATTCTCATCCTCTTCCTCACCTTCAACACCAAGGTATAGGGGTCCTTAACCGTCCTAGAAGTCCCTCACGTTCCCCACCCGCTCTTTAAAGTCTTCTCTCCTTGCGTTCAACTCCTCCTTGGGGGACCAACCTCAACCTCTTCCTCTCCTCTTCCCACACCTCCCCGCTCATTCCTCCCCATCACGTGCATCACAGGGTCCACGGTTGAAATCCTCAAGGTGGGCCAAACTCACCTCTTCCGTTCCTCTTTCCCCCACCACTCCTCCTCCGCCTCCTCCCATCACGTGCACTGCAGGACCCAAAGTTCGAAATCCTCAAGGTGGATTTGAAGCAGCTGAACTTTGGAACTTCTGGGAACCTTCTGTTTGATTTCAACAACTTTAAAGTCAAGGCGAACGGGAAGGCGGACGTCAAGGCGCTGGTGGTTAACCCTAACAACCACGAGGTGATCGTTGAGGCGCTGAATGTCAACCTCAAGCTCTTCAACGTCGACATTGCCAACACTTCGGTATGTAGTAGAGGCCTTGAAATGCGGTACATCCGTTATGGTGGTTAACCCTAACAACCACTAGGTGATCGTGGAGGCACCAAACGTCAACCTGAAGCTGTTCAACATCGACATCGCCAACACTTCGGTACGTGCCAGAAATTCCAGAATGTGGTTCGTCTTTTGATTGCGTAGAATGTGAAGAGGCTGGTGGTTAACCCTAACAACCACGAGGTGATCGTGGAGGCACTGAACGTCAACCTGAAGCTCTTCCACGTTGACATCGCCAACACCTCAAGATGTCCATTGTGGCACCTACTCTACTCCCTATCTTCCCTATTTCACCTCTTCCAACCGTAGTGCCTCACCTTGGCTCTCACATGCCTGGCTGACCTATCCTATTCCCATATCAACCAGATCCCCGGATTCGAGCTCTCAAAGAAGGGAAACATCACATTGAGCATTCCATTTCCCATCAAGAATCTTCCGGTCATTGCTACTGGTAACAAGGACAACCTCATTACTACATCGCTCCGCAAGGGACAAGTGGATGTCAAGGTGGGATACTGAAGCGTTATGGGTGTTATTTTATGTTATTACGTTTTTTTTCATTGCAGAGCTCGCCTCACCCTTTTCCCTGCTTTTTGTCACCCATGCCTGTCTTACAGCTCAATATAGACTCTAGAGGCAAGGTGAAAATTCTGGGAATGGCAACACCATCATATAATGTAAGTGGTGCATGTGCCTCTGCGTTCGTTACCCGCCATTTTGTGAGCAGCATGTCACATGTGTCTTGTTACTGACACTTTCCAAAAACATTCCGTCCATCTTCGTTGCAGCTCCTCATCGCGTGCAATATCACGGTAGATCCATTTGGGGGGGACCAGATATTTCGTCAGAAATGTTTCAAGACCAGATCAAAAGCGTAAATAATGAGCAATGCCAGCCCAATGCATTGTTTTCATGTCATGTGCTTATAAGTGGTATATATTTATTTTTGGCATTATTCAAGCGTATATTTTTAGGGGGTTCAACTCTAGGATCAAATGCAGTAGCAACATCCTGACTAGCATAGGATTCCTCAAACCACACTTCATACCGCACGCGTCTTCTCCAACCACACTACACACCACACAATGGTTTGAAATGTCGGTGCTTCACTGTCGGTCGCGTCTCGAATGATGTTTGGGTAAACTGACACGGTTTCGAGTCGCGATGGCTGCCAGAAACCGTACCTAGGTTTCAAGAGTACCGCGCGCTCCGTCCCCAGCTGTGGCCTCCTCCCCCCGCCAAAATCAGACACGAATGAGGAGGTGGTTCCGTAGTGTGATTCTCATTGGTGGTATCTTCGCATCCAATCAAGTTCCCTGGATCTGTCGGTCAGCCGTTCGATGATGCCATCATCAGGTTCCGCTCCATGCGAAGGAATACGAGGTCTGCGAGGGGACGACGCTGTTCGTTGGAGCAAACATCGGTGTTCAGTTGATATCCCCTACTTTTCCCCTGGTACCGACCAAAGTCTGCTCTCTGGCATCCGTCCGGAATCGCCCTTCACGATCTTCAGCTCCTCCAGCTGTCGCAGAGCGAGAGAGCATGCTCGACTTTTCGAACCATGCGAACTCCGAAGTCGCACAGCAGAAGAAAGCCGTTATGAAGATGCTCCTTGCTTGCCTCAGAAACGAGTACATCACGCCAGCAGGTTCAGAAAGGTGCCGTGAGAGTGAAAGAGTTTCGTCTCTTACATATAACGGTTGAGTGGAGTGGTGAGGTAGTATCTACCAATGCACGTCCCCAGGGCCCTCTCGAGCTGCCAGAAGCAGAACCTGCACCTAGTTCGCAAGAAGTTGGTAGGACACACTCCTCGCAAAACGAGAACAGATGTAGGTGACTAGCTTCAGCAGTAGCCACACTGCTTAGCCATTTCAGATTACATTCGGTGGTCCTAGGCTCTGCCGTGGCAACGTAGTTCGCATTCGGTTCCCTGAGAGTGGTTTGTCCAGTCTGAAAGTGCTGTGATATTCAAACAGTGCTTATCATCTGTAATATTCGGTTCCTGTATTTGCTGTCCCTGCTATTCGCAGCTCGTGACGTAGCATTTGGAGATTAGCAGCCATTCTCCAAATAACATCTCAAACCTTTTTTGCATCAGTACCTCTTCATTCCTCCATCCCAACGCCGTCTTTCGAGTTACAATTTCATCACCGTTTCTTGTAGCACTAAAGGAACGGAGAGACTGGCATACGATGGGAGTGAACGACTTTCTCCCAGTCAGAACCAATTCTGCACGCGTGGATCAGGAGGAGAAATACACTGACATAACTGACGACCTCGAAGAGCCTTACGTACGTTAGACGACATCTTTTGTCTCATACGATTATCTCCTTTTGTCCCTTTTCTGTTGTGCCATGGTCCTGTTTTGACTGTAGCTTCTCGAATCTCATCGTAAGTACGCGTCGCATGATTTCGTCTCATTCTTTATCTTCCGCATCTCTCTGTCACCCGTCGGTCTCTCATACTCCGCCTTCCCACTCTTCGCTCTCCCACATTTCACTCTATCGCTCTAGCTGTATCACACTTCTCGCTACCACGCTTCATCACCAGTTCTATTGAAGGTCGCGACGAGAGTCACAGACGCATGTAGTACACTGTCCCCATTCGCTGCACGTTTCTTCATTTTTGAGACGTCTAAAAAACGGTTCCTGGACACTTAGGCTCGCTAAATCCATGCCCGTGCCTTTTGAATAGGCTCGCTAGTCCCGATCGACGTCCGTGCTCACTTTGGGTCTGGAAGTGCGTCGCTGAGAGGATTAAAACCATCATTTATTATTTTCCTATCTGATGTACTTGACTCTCAATCTCTGTCTTTCTTTCACTCTCTCCGCCTTCACTTTCCCGCTTTCTTGTGCAGAAGAAGCAATACATGGCGGACGCAGCTGGTTTTGACTCGTATGAGATGGAGCAGGCAAAGCTGCAGCATCATAAGCAGCAGAAGCGCAGTTGTTGCACGTGGCAAAACATCGCCGTAACGTGCGGACTTCTCCTCTCCCTGCTTATGACCGGCGTGGGAATCGCCATACTCGTTGTTGCGTGCACCTATAAGCCCGAGGTGAGTGTACCAACGAATTCCGAACACTATCAAGTTACTTTTATCCCATGAAATTGTGCCGTTTCATTGTATTTGAAGTGACCCTGCGAGCAACAAAAAGTGCCAACTTCCCCCTCCTCCTCCCCCCCCTCCCCCCTCCACCCCCTCCGACATCTCTTCAGGAACATTTTTGTATATCTGCCTGTCTCTCGATCCGTCTGCCTGTCTTATTGTCATGCTCCTATCCCTCTTTCCCCCCTCCCTCTATCCCGTCCTCCAGCCTCCCGTGATCCGGATTGAGAAGGTAGATATTGTACGGCTAAATTTCAACGGCACAGGCACCAACAGTGACCTAACTACAAGTCTCGGCGGGCTGGGAGCTACTATCGGGGATGCCCTCGGGAACCCGTTGGGGGGAGCGCTGGGGAATCTCGGGAGCGATCTCGGAAGCCTGCTGGCGGACCCAACCAATTTCACCCTCAATATGAATGCACTTATTAACGTTACAGCGAATGTGTTGAATCCAAACAAATACGATATTCAAGTGAAGTACTTGGACCTGTTCATCTCGCTCTTCAACATAAGCGTCTCCAATGTCTCGGTGAGTAGAACTTGCTCCAATTTTGGCTCTCAGTTAACCATTTCACTGTCTAGGCGCACAGACAATCAGCTCAGTTGGATATACCACTCATCTCTTTTACAACTCTATTCAACCTTCCTCTTCCTTTCCCCTCGTGTCCGTGATAATCTTGTTCAGTTGGGCGAGTTCAGGTCCCCCAGCAATCAGAACATCACCATGACACTCCCCTTGAAAATTGTCAACGTGCCGCTGGTGTCTCTTGGAAAAGATAGTGTCATTGGCAACTCCCTCATGGCTCAGAAGCTCAAGATGAAGGTTAGCACAGTGCCGCCGGCAAGACTCTCTCCTCTTGCCGGATTTGCTTGCTCTTTACCACATGACATCTTGCCATGCAATTGATGTGCTACGTTGTTGTGCTGAATTATGCTTCTTGCAGATCTTAGGAGTTGCCGAAGGCAAAGCCCAGGTTTGGGCCTTCTCCTCACCAACCTACAAGGTACGCCGAGGGGTTTGGCTCTATTGGCCCTTGGCATGAATGGTGGTTTATAAGCTGGCACGTTGTTTCTGTGTTTTTGCTTTGTGCATCCAAGTCTATACTAGGTACTTCACGGCTGGATAAGTGAACGTTCGCTGACCTTTTTTCTGGATGCAGGTCGGAGTAGTATGCAATGCAACGGTGAGCCCTGCTGCAGGCAAGAATTCGGTGACAAGGGACTGTGTTAGCAAGGCCAAAAAGGTTTGAGTTCATGGACACACTGATCATTCCTGCACTGTCTTCAAAAGAAGCCATTCTTTGTATGGTCAGGAACATCATAGCAATAAGGTTATGTACAAATCAGGTTTGGTAGCTGTCACTCTTCGATAGCGAGCGTGTTTTAGCGGAGATACAGCTGTCATACCAACAAAGCATACATGCTAACATTTTTCGCTGACCAATAACAAACACGATACATGCTCGATTCCATGAACAGAAAGCACAGAGACAACCCGCCGAATATATCTCAGCGGACAAGCGAGTCCGCCCGGGGGAGCTCACTGCCCGCGGGCAAAAAAAATAAAACCCATTCGGGCATGCATCCGGTCAGGGAGGCATCAACCCTAAACACAGGGAGGCATGGATTTAGGGTTGATGCCTCCCTCGGATGGCATGCCATCCGATGGGGTTTTAGTTTTTATTTCTGCCCGGGGCAGCATGTCGTCAAGTCGTCAACAGGTCGTCAGGCTTGACGACCCGTTTCCGCTGAGATATTCCAATATATTACACTTGGTAGCGTCGGTAGCGCTACCGAACCGCTAGACGACGCTACAGAGTGAGTCAGCATGCTGACCGCGGGCAGGAAAATACTAAAACCCATTCGGACTCCATGCCATTCGGGAGCCTCAACCCTAAAATTTTAGGGTTGATGCCTCCCGAATGGCATGCCTTCCGAGTGGGTTTTATTTTTTTCCTTGCCCGCTGACTCATTGCACTGCGTGCTGACGAACGCAGTGCAATATATTTGCCAATTCCTTCGCAAACCCATGTCGTGCGCCGTCACTTCGTTTCCATCACCGAACAGAACTAGCCTCTTCGTAGGCGACGAGGCCCCTAACCAATCACATGTCAGTTCGGTTCGCAGATACACGCACGCTCCACGGCTCCCTCCACCACATCAGAAAACCACGTTACTGTACAGTACACAACTTTTCTGTGGATGCGGTGCGGTCAAAAGCGGTCAAGCAGAACAACCGCTGAAAACCCCATGTCACAAGCCCGTCCAGCTAGGTACCCCCACCTTTCTCCCAACCACCCCTCCCCCCCACCTCCCCTCCCCTCTCCCCTCTTCGTTCCCCCCTCCCCGTTCTTTTTTGTGCGAAGTCTTTTCTGGTTACCGCATTACCAACTAAATTCAGGGGATGTGCCCAACCACAACTCAACGAAGCTCGGTGAGTCAAGAGCCACCGCCGAACCGCACACACTAGCATTCCCAAGCAGGGAGCATGCGTGGTTTGGTTCGATAATCGATAGCCTAGTAGGCGGTGCTTCGAGTCGCATACCTTACACCTACAGCCTCTAGCTCGCACATTTTAAGCCTGGGAAGCGGTATAGTACGGCGGACCGTCGGTAGGCGCGTCGTGTTCGGCGCAGCGGGCTGCTTTCCGAAGCAGCTGCAAGTTTGGCACAAATATATTACTCTGTAGGACTAGAGAAGAGAGCTTTTGCGGTAAGACCAAGGGAGGGTTACTCGAACTACTGGCACAGTGAAATACTGTTGACGGAGCTGGCGAACGGCCTACAAGTTATTCGTTTTCTTTTGGAAAATTGCGTCTTTGGAGCGAAAAGGTCAAACGATATTACGGGAACGGGCACTTTCACTATGGCGCTATTCTTTCCGCAGGCGTTTCATTAAAGACATGCATAACCAGGGGCTCGTCATCTGTTACTTATCCTCCGCTTCAGCTTGTAGCGCCAGTCGTCTCGCGCAGTTACTCTTTATCCTCGTTATTAGCCAAGGCGCGCAACAAGATGATGTTTTCCGCAAAAATGGCGGACGAGTCGCCATTAGCGAAACAGGCGTCCGGCCGCTCGGATTACTCGACGGACGCTGACGCGGACGCAGCGTATGAAGCTGACGTGGAGGCCGCTGCTGACGTGGACTCTATGGTGCATAACCGACGGCCTTACCACCGCGACTCGGACTCGAACTCCACTGGCCTCTCCGACGCGGATTTCGACCTCCCCGACTCGGACCGCGACGCGCTCGCGTCGCCCTCCCCGGCCGCAATAGCCGCCGCGGAAGCCGCGGCGGCGAAGACGAAAGCGATGGATGGGGATTCAGAGCTGGGCGGAGACGGGGGGGATGGAGAGAAGGGGAAGGGGGGAGGCGCGGGGAAGGGGAAGGGGGGAGGTGCGGAGAAGGGGAAGCGGGGAAGGAGGTGCGGGAGGTGGGAGATCATTTGCTGGGTGGGGATTGGCGCTGGGGTGGTCATGACGGGGATTGGCCTCACAATGCTTGTCTTCTTCCTCTCACTCACCCAACAGGTAATGATGACGCCCCATCTTAAAGTTTGCCTCGCATTCTTCGAAACGTTGCATATGTGTTGTCGAGTGGGCCTGCCAAATTTCAATTCACACAGACGTACGTACATGCAATACAAACACCATAATTTTCCCTCTTTCTCACCGCCCACTCTTCCGCATCTCCTCCCGCCACCCTTCCCCTCTGTGCAGGAACCAGTTGTGACTGTAGAGGGTGTTGATATAGTCCGCCTGAGCATCTCAATCCCTTCCCAAACCATCAAGATGCCGAGCCTAGACCCCAGCATGGTCACTGTCCCGAACCTAGGAGGCTCCGTCCCCAGCCTTGGTGACGTGCCGAACCTCGACATTCCGAGCCTGGACCTGTCGAACCTAGATCTGAAGAACCCCGGCAGCCTCAGGAAAAGCCTCCAGGACCGGCTGTCCAATTTCGGAAAAGAGGTTTCCGATCTCGGAAAGAACGTTAGTCAAATCGGCAAGAATGTAACCCATGAGGTTTCTAAAGCCGGGAGGAACGTTTCTAAGGAGGTCTCTAAAGATCTAATGCGGATTGGGGACGAGATTCAAAGGGCGATTCGGAACAACTTTGAAGGGTTGCGCGTGGATTTGAATGCGCATGTGAATGTGACCGCGAGCGAATATCTCGGTACGTGATTTTTTTTTTTTCTATTTATGTAATAATGTTGTATTCGCTTCTTCTGCTGTTACTGCTACTTAAAAGGAAACGGCCATGCAATCACTCGACTGCTACATTCTTTATCATCGCCTCTTGCCAACATCGCTCTTCCTCTTTTCCGCCTCCGCCTCCCCTGTCAGATGCCAGCGTTTGAGCTGGGCAAGAAGCAGACAAAAATTGCCACCGTGCCGATCGTGGTGAAGAGCTTCCCGCTGCTCTCCACCTCATCGTCAGCGCAAGTCAGGAGCCCCATCGCTGATGTGCTGAGGGAGCGGAAAATCAAGATGCAGGTATGAATCAAGGCAGGCAGTAGGGGTATAAAGAGGCATACAGGACTGGATACCACAAGCTCCCCTCCCTCTGTTTTCTGCATCAGACCTTCATCGACAGACAAGGCAGAGTGAGGGTGAGGGAAATATGCTCATCTCCTCCATCATCCCCTCGCTTAATGACTCATTATTCCTGTCTCACTCAATCCCGAATTTCCTTCCTAATCCCCTCCCTCGTTTTCTGCAGCAGACCTGTATCAGCACTTAGGTCAAGTGAGAGTGAGGGAGTCTTCTCATACCCTCCCGTGTGTGAAGAGGCGATTTTTGAGTCGACTCAAAAAGGTCAAGTGAGAGTGAGGGAGTCTTCTCATACCCTCCCTCATCCCCTCTTCTAAACCATTTCCAACATCCCTTCCTGACCCACTCTGATTTCTCCCTCGTTTTCTGTATCAGACATTTATCAACACACAGGGCAAAGTCAGGGTGTGGGGAATCGCCTCTCCCACTTACAATGTGAGTATAGCGGGACACACTGTAACTGGTAGTGTGAGTGCAGCAAGATTGCATTTGAGTAGCGTAAGAGATGTCAGGGTGTGAATCTCCTCTCCCACTTACAATGTGAGTAAAGCGGAATACACAGTAAGTGCAGTAATTGATAGGGTGAGTGTTGTGAAAGTGTGAGAGACGTAGGAGATGGTGTACAAAAGACGTACTACAAGCTCGTTCTGTATGCAGCAAATTCGTTTGGAAGAATGGCATGCGCTGTCAATATACCGTACATCTTTCACGCGATATTCTCTCTATTGAATGCCTTGTTACAGGTCACTGTGATGTGTGTGATGACGGTGGACCCCAGCGCGGATGTGATGACCAAGAAGGAATGTGGAGCCAAGCCTACAAAAGTGTAGTTTATTTATTTAGTGTATTCAGTTGTAGTGAGTGAGAGCCCCCATATGATAAGATGTGCTTTCTTTTGGGTGCGCTGTTTGAGGAAATTGCCAGCCTGTATTACTCTGGCTGAAGTTGCATCTGTCTTTTTTTGTCACATCAAATTGCTGCCACTTGAGTTACCGTATTATCCCGGACAAATCACCCCCCGAAATTGTGCGTACACCCTCCGGGTGGCTTGTGCGGGGTGAGTGTTATAGGCGACCTCGTTTGTATTATACCCCCCTTTTGGGCTGATTTTCTATAACACCCCCCTTTCTTACAGAAATTCTTATTATAGCTGTTAACGAGTAGGTATGGCAATTTCGAAAGAAATATGCCCGAATCACCTCCCTCCCATTTTTTCGCTGCTGCCACGCTGGTATATCTTCTCTTAAAACCGGGGTGCACATTCAGCTGAATGTGCATCAAAGGTTATCCCTTGACTGAGTGGGTTACGAGGTGTGCTTTCAACCCCTTCAAGTCGAAATTCGTTTCCCCCCTCCCCCGCAATTTCGTTTCCCCACGCCCCCGCAATTTCATTTCCCCCTCCCCGTCGAAATTCGTTTCCCCCCTCCCCCGCAATTTTGTTTCCCCCCTCCCCCGCAATTTCGTTTCCCCCCCCTCCCGCCAATCTGTTTCATCCCTCCCGCCATTCGGTTTCACCCACTCCCGCCATTTCACCCCCTCCCGCCACCTACGAAATGCCCGAAGCTCTAGCGGAATCATTTTTTTGTCGCCCCTCGTGAGCCAATCACTGTTTTTCTCCAAACCCCCTTCCCAACATCTCAAGCCGAACCGCGTTGAATGTGCACCCTGGTTTTAACAAGTGGCCAAAGAGGTGCCACCTGGAAATTTCAAGGGGGGGGGAAATGTTGGTGTCGAAACTCGCGTTCTCGCCTCTGACTGTGATGTTAAACCAACTTTGAAAACACCCAAGCTGTCCATTTATCAAAACCCTTACACTAAAAATGTCTAGGGTTTTGTATACATTTGCAAAAGGGAGTTTCAAAAGTTTTGAAATCTGAAATATTGGTAACCACATTACCCCTCCAACACCTCGCTGACCAAGGGAGGGAGATTGCCCCGGCACCCAGCACTCCCTGCTGATTCAAAACTTCAGGGTCGACAAAAGTATACGAAATGCCCTCCACTCTCGGATCTACGCTACTACGCCTATAGGTAGCATAACCCGATGCTAAGCAGGTCGTGACTAAACAGCGAGCTCATTTTACCAAGTTCCACCAACACAAGCCTAGACGCGTGGGCGTCATTACATGTCCGCAACGAAGTCATTTCCGCCCTCTTAACATAAAGGCGCCGCCAGACCCCCTCCTACAGCCTCGCCTCGTTGTCCGACGCGTTCCGGGAAACACGTTTCCTCTTCACGCCACCGTGAACGCGGGCGACGCGGCCCAAACTGCCGAACGCGTGGTTGCACAAACGCAGACTGATCCGACAGAAAAAAGGACAACGTGTCCGTTCTAGCCGCCGGGAGGCGAGGTTGAGGTACGGAACGACTGCTGAAACGTCTGCATGTCCCCCCCATATCCGCCTCCTCGTTATCCCTTCTCGCCTCCGCAATTCTCCATCCCGCCTCAACCGCTTCCCCCTCCTACTCCGCATTGCCCATTCCTGCCACGACGTCTCCCCTTCCCGCCGTCTCAATTCACGTTCCCCGCACCCCGTATCCCCTCGGAGTTTCCCCTTCCTGCACCCCGTATCCCCTTCCCGCCACCCCAATTCCCCTTTCCGCCACCACTTTTCCCCTCCCCGTCTCCCGATTACCCCTTCCCGCCTCCCCGGTTTTCCTTCCCGCCCCGCAATTCCCCTTTCCGCCTCCCCGTTTCCCCTCCCCGCACCCCGAATCCCCTTCCCGCCACCCCAATTCCACTTTCCGCCACCACTTTTCCCCTCCCCGTCTCCCGATTACCCCTTCCCGCCTCCCCGGTTTTCCTTCCCGCCCCGCAATTCCCCTTTCCGCCTCCCCGTTTCCCCTCCCCGCACCCCGTATCCCCTTCCCGCCACCCCAATTCCACTTTCCGCCACCACTTTTCCCCTCCCCGTCTCCCGATTACCCCTTCCCGCCTCCCCGTTTCCCGTTCCCGTACCCCGTATCCCCTTCCCGCCTCCCAAAATCCCCTCTCCGCCACCCCTTTTCCCCACCCCGTGTCCCCATTACCTCTTATCGCCACCCCGGTTTCCCTTCCCGCCCCGCAATTCCCCTTTCTGCCTCCCCGTTTCCTCTTCCCCCATTCGCGTTCCCCTCCCCGCTCCCCATTACCCCTCCCCACCTCTCCGTTACCCCTTCCCACCTTCTTCATTCCCCTTCACGCTCCCCATTACCCCTCCCCGCCTCCCGGTTTCCCCTTCTCGCCGCCTCAATACCGGTTCCAGCCTCCTCGTTTCCCCTAGCCGCCTCCCCGTATCCCCTTCCCGCTCCCCGTTTCCCCTTCCCGCTCCCCGTATCCCCTTCCCGCTCCCCGTATCCCCTTCCCGCTCCCTGTTTCCCCTTCCCGCTCCCCGTTTCCCCTTCCCGCTCCCCGTTTCCCCTTCCCGCTCCCCGTTTCCCGTTCCCGCTCCCCGTTTCCCCTTCCCGCTCCCCGTTTCCCCTTCCCGCTCCCCGTTTCCCCTTCCCGCTCCCCGTTTCTCCTTCCCACCTCCCCGTTTCCCCCTCTTGGCTCCTAATTTCCCTCATTGCCTCCCGTCTATCCCCACCCAACCCACCCATCTCCATTTCCCGTCTGTCCCGATTACCCCTTCCCGGCTCCCCGGTTTCCCTCCCCGCCCCGCATTTCCCCTATCCGCCACCCCGATTCCCATTCCCGCAGCAAGTACCCCCTTCACACATTGTAATTTCTCCTTCCCGCAGCCCAGTACCCCTTCCCACCTCCCCGTTCCGCCTTCCCTCTCCCCGTTTCCCTCTCCCTATCTCCCGCTAAACGCCACCCTAACTCCCCAGCCGTCCCTCCTATCTCCATCTCAAGCCTCGCCATTCCGTGTGCTAGCCTCCCCATCTTTCTTTCCCCCGACTCCCTAAAATGACCCCCTTCCCTTCTCCCTCTCCTTTCCCCCCCTTCCCCCAGAAGTTTCCTGCGCTTGTCCCTTTCATTACCCCCGCCTCTCCTTCTCAGTTACGCCCCTCTTCCCTCTCATCTCCCCTCGTGCTGCCTCTCATGTCCCCCCTTTCTCCTTCTCATTTATCGCCATTCTCCCTCTCATTCCCCCCCCCCTTCTCAAGCTCATTTCCCCCCTTTCTCCCTCCCATTTCCTCGGATGTGCCCCCTCCTTCCCCCCCCCCACTTTCCCCCTCTCGTTTTCACCTGCTCATTTTCACCCCTTCTCCCTCCCACTGCCCCATTCGCGGCCTCTCAGTTTCGCCCCTTCTCCGTCTTATTCACTCCCCCTTCTCCCTCTCGTTTCCCCATCTCCTCCCTATCGTTTCCCCCCTCCCCTTCTCGTCTACCCCCGTCCCCCTCTTATGTCTCCCCATTCTCCTTCCTGGTTTTCCCCATTCTCCATCTCATTCCCCCCTCATTCCCAAGCTCACCTAACCCCTTTCTCTCTCCATTCTCCCCAGATGTGCCCCCTCATTCCCCCCCTGTCCCCACCCGTGTGCTGCCCCAGGCCCTACCCCATCTATATCCATCCTCCCACAAGCATTCTTATTCCCATCCCCATCTTCTTTCTTCCCATCCCCCGTCTCCCCATCCGCATTTTCCCCATCTACATCCATTCTCTCGAGTTCCTCCTTGGCCCTTCCCTCCTTTTCCCCTGCTGCTACTCCTGAGCCTGTCCCTGTTCCTACTCCCAAGCCAAGCTGCTTTATTTCTCCAGCTGCTGCTGGTGGTGCTGCTACTGGTGTTGCTGCTGGTGCTGCCACTGGTATTGTTGCTGCTGCTGCTGCCACTGGTATTGTTGCTGCTGCTGCTGCCACTGGTATTGCCACTGTCGTTGGTGCTGCCACCGGTGCTGCCGCTGGTGCTGCTGCTGCTGCTGCTGAGGCTGGTGCTTCTGCTGGTAGTGCTGCTGCTAGTGCTGCTGCTGCTGCTGCTGCTGGTGCTGCCACCAGTGCTGCCGCTGGTGCTGCTGGTGGTGCTGCCGCTAATGCTGGTGTTGGCGCTGTCGCTTCAGCTGCTGTTGGTACTGCCCCTTCTGCCACCTGCTTCTCTCCCTCCCCTCCCTGCTTCTCTCCCTCCCCTCCCTTCTTTTCTCCCTCCCCTCCCTTCTTCTCTCCTTCCTTCTTCTCTCCCTCCCCATCCTTCTTTTCTCCCTCCCCTCCCTTCTTCTCTCCTTCCTTCTTCTCTCCCTCCCCGGCCTTCCTCTCTTCCTCTGCTGCTGCTTCCACTGCAGGTAATGCTACTGCAGTCACAGATACAGGTGCATCTGTAGCAGCAGTATTCCAAGTAAGTGCAGCTGTGATTGTTGCAGGCGTTACTGTACCAGGTGTGACTATATCAGGCGTAGCTGTAGCACCAACAGGCTCAGCTGTTGCAGCATCAAGTGCAGGTGCAGCAGCAGCAGCAGCAGCAGCAGCAGCAGCAGCAGCAGCAGCAGCAGCAGCAGCAGCAGCAGCAGCAGCAGCAGCAGCAGCAGCAGCAGCAGCAGCAGCAGCAGCAGCAGCAGCAGCAGCAGCAGCAGCAGCAGCAGGTGCAGGTGCAGCTGTAGCAGCAGGTGCAGGTGCAGCTGTAGCAGCAGCGGGTGCAGCTACGTAGGCAGTTGTAGCAACAGCTGCAGAAGCAGCTGTAGCAGCTGCAGTTGTAGCAGGCACAGCAGGATCAACTGAAGGCGGCTTGACTGGGGAGACTGCAACTGGAGAGGGTACATCGGAAGAGGGCACTACAGCGGAAGCAGGTGCAACTGGGGGAGGTACAACTGCAGCTTGAGGGGTGATTGGGACAGACGCGGCTGGCTCGGGAAAGACTTGGGAGGCTGCAACTGGAGCGGGTACACCTGAGGAGGGTGCTACAGCCGGAGCAGGTGCGACTGGGGGAGGTACAACTGCAGCCTGAGTTGCAACTGGGGCACATGCGGCTGGCTCAACAGGGAGTTGTGGGGTCTTGGCTGGTGCTTCTGCTGCTGCTGTGGGTGTCGTTGACACTCCTTCCAACGCCCCTCCTGCAACCCCTCCCTCCACCCCTTTGATTGCTGTGATTGCTGTGCTTGTTGCGGTGGGTGCAGTTGCTGCTGGTAACAACGCCCCCCCTGCAACCCCTCCCTCCACCGCTTTCGTTTTTGTCTGCACACGTCCCTCCCCACCCTTCCCTTCCTCCCCTCCCTTTTTCTCTCCCTCCAATCCCCTTTTCTCTCCCTTAACTCCCTTTTTCTCTCCCTCCTCTCCCTTTTTCTCTCCCTCTACTCCTTTTTTCTCTCCCTCCACCCCTTTGATCTGCTCACTTGTTCCCCTGGGACCAGGCGCTGCTGGTGTATCATCAGATTGCTTTGCTGTTGCTGTGGGTGCAGCTGCCGTTGCTTTCAATGCCCCTCCTGCAACCCTTCCCTCCACCCTTTCGGTCTGCACACTTGTTCCCCTGGGACTGGGTGCTGCTGGCGTATCAACAGATTGCTTTGCTGTGGCTGTGGGTGTCACTACGGGTGTCACCGTGGGTGTCACCGTGGGAGCTATTGTGGCTGCGGGTGTCACTGTCAGTGTCACTGCGGGTGTCACCATGGGTGTAACTGTGGGTGTCATTATGGCTGTGGGTGGCACTGTAGGTGTCAATGTAGGCGTCACTGTTGGTGTCACCATGGGTGTCACAGTGGCTGCGGGTGTGACGGTGGGTGTGGTTGCAACTGTGTTTGTGACTGAAACTGGTGTGACTGTGGGTGAGGGCGCTTCAGTTCCTACTACTGCTGCCACCGCTGGTGGAGTTGCTTCAACTGGAAGGGTCGTTGTTGCTGCTCGCTCTGGTGCTGCTGGTCGTGCTGCTGTTGCTGGTGGTGCTGCAACTGTGGGTGCTGCTGCTGCTGCTGCTTGTTCTGGTGCTGTTGGTACCACTGTTGGTACTGACAGCGCTGCTGATGGCGCTGCTGCTGCTGCGGTTGCTGGCACGATTGCTACGGCTGCTGGTGCTGCTGCTGCAAATGTAGGTGCTGCTGCTGCTCGTTCTGGTGCTGCTGGTACCGTTGCTGCTGGCAGAGCTTCTTCTCGAAAAGCTGCCTCTTCACCTGCTGTTTCCGCAGCAGCAGTCGCTGTGGCAGCAGCCGCAGGCTCTGGTGGTGCTGCCCCTGCTGTCACTGCCGCTGTTGCTGTTGCTGTTGCTGCTGCATTTGCTGCAACTGCTGCTGCTGCTGTTGCTGCTGTTGCTGCAGCTTTTGCTGCTGTTGCTCCTGCTGCAACTGCTGCTGCTGCTGTTGCTCCTGTTGCTGCTGCTACACTCGTTGCTCCTGGCGCTGCTGCTGACTCTACTTTAACATCAGACGGAGCAGGCGTTACGATCGCTACAGAGGGTACAGCAGTTGCTTCCGCTACAGCTGGTGTTACAGCAGGTGTTGTAGCAGGCATTACCACGTCAGCAGGCATTACCGCAGGTGGTACGGCAGGCGTTACAGCAGGTGCTACAGCAGGCATTACCACAGGCGCTACAGCAGGTTCAGCAGGAACTAATGTAGTCGGTACAAAAGGCGCAACAGCAGGTGCTACAGCAGGCGCAACAGCAGGCATTACCACAGGCGCTACAGCTGGAGGCGCTGCCTGCGGTAACGGCGCAACTGGCATTACGGCAGGTGCTACAGTCGCTACAGCAGCCACTGCAGGCGCTATAGGCGCTACAGATGTTGCACCAGGTTCTTGAGGCCTTACCACAGGTGCTACAGCAGGCGCTAGAGACGTTACAGCAGACGCTACAGGTGCTACAGGCGCTACAGGAGCTGCAGGCGCTACAGGAGCTACAGCAGCCGCTACAGACGTTGCACCAGGTGCTACAGGTGCCACAGGGGCTACAGCAGACGCTACAGGTGCTACAGATGCTACATCAGGCGCTACAGGCGTTGCAGATGCTACAGCAGGCGCCACGGCAGGTGCTGCAGGTGCTACAGGTGCTACGGACGTTGCAGCAGGCGGTTCAGATGCTACAGCAGCCACTGCAGGCAATATGGCAGGCGCTATAGGTGCTGCCGAAGCTACAGGCGCTACAGGTGGCGCTATAGGTGGTGCCGAAGCTACAGGCGCTACAGGTGGCGCTATAGGTGCTGCCGAAGCTACAGGCGCTACAGGTGGCGCTATAGGTGCTGCCGAAGCTACAGGCGCTACAGGTGGCGCTATAGGTGCTGCCGAAGCTACAGGCGCTACAGGTGGCGCTATAGGTGCTGCCGAAGCTACAGGCGCAACAGATGGCGCTACAGGTGCTGCCGAAGCTACCGGCGCTACAGCAGCCACTACAGACATTGCAGCAGGCACTGCAGCAGGAGTGGTAGAGGGAGCAGCACGAGAGGGAGCAGCAGGAGGGGGAGCAGTAGTGGAGGAAACAGAGGTAGGGGGAGCAGCAGTGGTAAGGGGAACGGGAGTAGGGGGAGGAGCAGTTGTGGGGACGGGGTTGAGGGGAACAGGAATGAGGGAAGTTGGAACTGGCGGAACAGGGGTGGGGGGAACGGGGGTGGGGGGAACTGGAGTGGGCGGAACAGGGGTGGGGGGGAGAGGAGCGGGGGGAACAGGGGTTGGGGGAACAGGAGTGCGCGGCCTCAATGGGGGGGCTTGTGAAGAGGGGAGAGGCACAACCAGAGGAGCCACTTTGGTGGTAGAATCGTGTGCTGAGGCGGGAGCAAGCAGGGGAGCAACCTTCGGAGCGGATTCAAGTGCAGGGGGAACAAGCACAGGAGCAACCTTAGCAGCAGACGCCTGTGCAGGGGGAACAGGCACAGCGGTTCCCTTGATAGCACACGTGAGTGGTGATGGAGGCACAGGCACACCTTTATCCTGCTGCTGCTGCTGCTGCCGCTGTACTGTGCCTGTTGCTGCATTGCTGCCTAGGGCTGTAGAAAAAACCGGCTCCTTGCTAGGTGGCACCTGTCTCAAAAGCACCTGCCCGGATACCACCTTCCCAGCAAGCCCCTGCCCCTGCCCCTGTGGCTCTAGTGGAACTGGCACAGATACAACCGGATTTGACACTGGTGCTGCTGGTGGTGTTGGTGCCACAGGCGCTCCTGCTGCTGCAACAGGTGTAACAGCAGGTGCTGCTGCAACAGGTGGCACCTGCCCCGGCTGCACCTGTCCCAGGGGCACCTGCCTGGGCTGCAGCTGCACTTGCCCCGGCTGCACCTGTCCTGGTTGCACCGGCCCAGGTTGCACCGCCCCTGGTTGCACCTGCCCTGGTTGCACCGCCCCTGGTTGCACCTGTCCTGGTTGCACCGCCCCTGGTTGCACCTGCCCCAGCTGAACCTGCCCCGCCTGCACCTGGGCCGCTGGTACTGGCCCTGGTTGCACTTGCCCCGGTTGCACCTGCCCCAGCAGCACCTGCCCCGATTGCACCTGGGGCAGCGGTATTGGCCCTGGTAGTACCTGTCCTGGTGGCACCTGCCCCGACTGCACCTGCCCTCCTCGAGGCTTCAACCCTGCCCCTGAACCACCTGCTTGCCCTGCTGCTCCCACACTCCCAGCACCACTGCCTGTCCCAATCGTACCTGCCTGACCTGCTGCCCCCACGTTCCCCACAACACCGCATGCTCCCACACTCCCCACAACAACGCCTGCCCCCATAGTGCCTGCCTGCGCTGCCGTCGCTACTCCCTGAACCTGCTCCTTCTCTGTTCTCATTCTCTTCTGCGCTGGTTCCTGCCCCTCCCTCACCTGCTGCTGCTGCTGAAGGGGTAATTGCTGCTGCTGCTGCTGCTGCTGCTGGTTCTGTAAGGGCTGCTGAGGTTGTTGCTGCGGCTTTGGCAGAACCACTTTCTGTGGCGCTAGAAGCGTTGGCCTCACCTGCTGCTGCTGCTGCTGCGGCTGTGGCAACCGGGGTAACAACACAGGCCTTTGCTGCATCCCTACATGCTGCTGCCCCAACTGCTGCTGTTGCCGTTGCCCCAGCTGCTGCTGCTGCAGCAGAGGCAGTGGCAGCAGTGGCGATGGTGATGGTGATGCACCGGCTACACGTGGAAGGACATTCCCCTTCTGCTGGTGCTGCCCCTGCTGGTGCGGACCCTGCTGGTGCTGCTGCTGTGGCAACAAGAGTGGCGGTAAAAGAGTGTTCCCCCTGTGCTGCCCCGCATTCCCTGAAAGCACAGGCCCTGGCAGCCCCATTCCCAATCCCTGCCCTCCTGGCCTCTGAATGCCTCCTGCTGCCACTGCCCCTGCTTGAGCCGCCCCTGCTTGAGCCGCCCCTGCTTGAGCCGCCCCTGCTTGAACCGCCCCTGCTTGAACCGCCCCTGGATGCACCACCCCTGCTTGCCCCACTCTTGCCTGCCCAGACCCCGGTGCCACTGGCCCTGCCTGTCCCAGTCCCACCTGCCCTGCACTTGCTTGCCCAACCTCCCCTTGCCCTAACCCTGCCTGTGTCGCCCCTGTCTGAACCACACCTGCAGGGGAAAGCCCAGGTATTCTCAGATGGGTTGATGGCACCCCAGCAGCACCGCTCTGAACCGGAGCACCTGCCACTCGTGGCACATGCGCCATCTGCCCCTGATTCCGCCCCTGCCCCGGCCCTTGAATTTGCACCTGAGTCTGCACCTGGTTCTGCCCCTGGGCAAATGCCTGTCCCGGAGCCTTCCATCCTGCTGCTGCTGCTGCTGCTGCTGCTGCTGCTGCTGCTGCTGCTGCTGCAGGTAAAGCAGGGGAGACAGTTCTCCCCACATGGTTCCCTACAGCCTCCTCTCGCCCCACCGTCCCGTCAGAAGCTCTCCCAACTGCTGAGGCCCCTTCTGCTGGTGCGTTTCCTACTGCCCCATGCACCTTCATTTGCCCGTGAACCTGAACTGGCTGGTTTGAAGAGCCTAGCTTCATTGAATGACCGTGCAGCACTTGTGGTCCTGCTGCTGCCCCTGCGGCTCCTGCTGCTGCTCCTGTTGCTCCTGTTGTTACACCCACAGCACCGCCTGTCACCGCACTGGTTGTAGCAGCACCGGCAGCAGCACTGGTCATGGCACCAACTGTAGCAGCAGCGGCTGTAGCAGGTGTAGTGGCACTTGCCATAGCCGAAGGTGTTGCCGAACCTGAAGCACCAACCATACCTGCCACCTGCCCACTCACCCCTCTGACCACGCCATTTTTCTCTCCTCCTTCCGAGCCTGGAACAGGTCTGGCACCAGGCACAGGAGCCCTGGGAACTGGCCCGGGCGCAGGTCCGGCAGCAGGTCCGGCAGTAAGTATGGCAGGAGAGGCAGGCAAAGGCAACGACATGGGAGAGATAGCAGGAATCGGACTAGCTGGTCTTGTGACAGCTGTAGCAGCAGTAGCAGTACTAGCTGCTGTAGCAGCGGCAGCAGCAGCAGCAGTCGCAGCAGCTGTAGCACCTGTAGCAGCAGCAGAAGCTCCTGCTGCATCTGCCTGCTGGGCTGATGCTGATGTTGGTGCTGCGTGCCTCAATCCAGCTGCAACGCCTGTGGGACCGGCAGCAGCTGTGCCACTTGCAGCAGCAGCAGCAGCAGCGCCTGCTTGTAGGCCAGCCTGGGCTGGCCCTGAGACTTGCTGATGCTGTTGCTGCTTCTGCTGCTGCAACATCTGCTTCGGTTGCTGCATCTGCTGTTGTTGCTGTTGCTGCTGTTGTTGCTGCTGTTTCTGCTGCTGCTGCTGCTGTTGCTGTTGCTGTTGCTGTTGCTGTTGCTGTTGCTGTTGCTGTTGGTGCTGCTGTTGTTGTTGTGACTGCTGTTGCTGCTGCTGCTGCTGCTGTTGCTGTGGGTGCTGCTGCTGCTGATGATGCCGCTGCTGTTGCTGCTGTTGCTGTTGCTGTTGCTGTTGCTGTTGCTGTTGGTGCTGCTGTTGCTGTTGGTGCTGCTGTTGTTGTGGGTGCTGCTGCTGCGGATGATGCCGCTGCTGTTGCTGCTGCTGTTGCTGTTGCTGCTGCTGCTGCTGAGAATGCTGCAGGTTTTGATGCTTCCCTCCTGCTGTAAAATTGCCGCTAGCAGAAGCAGAAGCAGCAGCAGCAGCAGCAGCAGAAGCAGCAGCAGCAGCAGCAGCAGAAGCAGCAGCAGCAGCAGCAGCAATTGCACCTCCAGCAGTAACCGCCTTATCCTTCCCTGCACCTCCCCCTGCACCTCCCCCTGCACCTCCCCCTGCACCTCCCCCTGCACCTCCCCCTGCTCCTCCCCCTGCCCCTGCCCCGCCTGCACCCGTTCCCAAACCGTTTGGCAGGCTCGGAGAAGCTCCAGGCGCCGAACCTGCTGCACCGGGTGCGGATGCGGCTGCCGACGCTGCCGCCGTCGAAGCTGCAGCTACCGAAGCTGCAGCAGCAGCAGCAGCCGCAGCAGAGTCTGCCGGGGGGGCTGAGAGAGGAACAGGGAGAGAGGACGGCAGGGGCGATTGTGCCATACCTGTGCCTGCCGCCCCTGCTGCTGCTGCTGCTGCCGCAGCTGCTGCACCTGCCGCTGCCGCTGCACTTGCTGCTCCGCCTGCTGCCCCACCTGCTTGCAAACCAAAGGGAGGCGCACCAGGAATATGCCCCGGCATGGTCATCCCATATGGGGGTTGCTGCTTTGAAGCTGCAACCGCAGCTGCCGCTGCGGCCGCCGCTGCTGCCGCATAATTGCTGAAATGGGGGGGGTAGAACGGGTGGTGGTGATGCTGCTGCTGCTGCTGTTGCTGCTGCTGCTGCTGTTGCTGCTGTTGCTGTTGCTGCTGCTGCTGACGTGCTACATGCCGGTTGAACTCTATAAAGTGGGCAATGTAGACGTGCAGGGCACAACGTTTCCACGGCCGCCGCCCGTGCAGCTGCTGCTGCTGCTGCGAAGGCAGGGGGAGTAAGCCTGGGGGCGGTTGAGGCAGCGTGTGCTGTGATGGCTGGAGGGCGAGAGGGGCGAGAAGCGGGGCGGGGGATGGGTATGGGGGAGAGAGGGGGTGTAGGGGGTGGGGGAAGAGTGGGGGGAGGGGGAGTATGAGCGGGGCCAGCAAGGGAGAAAGGGCATGATGCAGCAGTGATGTGATGAACCCGAGTGTGTCTCACAGCGGCTGAAGTGTGACTCACAACTGGGAAGGGGAATCACCACTCACAGACAGCTGATTACCACCTGCAAGGGAAAGCAGCCAACCTACGTGACCAGGAGCGGCGCTCACAGCAGCATGGCTGCAGGGGACGAGAAGCCATCCCCTCTTGCTGCATGTGCCAGTAACGCCACTCCAGCATGCTGGAGCACTGACAGTGCGACTCTAAACCCTAACCCTACCCCTGTTCGACTCACAACTGGGAAGGGAGCCACAGTGACTTACATGGCCAGGAGGAGCAGGTGAGGAGACCCCATCGTCCCTCCCTGCATGCGCCAGTGATGCCACTCCAGCATGCTGGAGCAGCGATGGCCCGGTATGCGACAGAGAGGCGGGGAGGGAAGAGGGGAGAGACGAGGCGAGAGAGGAGGGGAGAGAGGAGGGGAGCGAGGAGGGGCCTCCAGCAGAGGGAGGGGGCCACCCAGCAGCAGCTGCAGCCGCCGCTGCAGCAGCAGCAGCCTGCGGGAAAAACCCAATCCCAGGGATCGGCCACCCTCCCAACCCTAGCGGCAAAGGCATGGACGCAGCAGCAGCAGCTGCTGCTGCCGCTGCGGCTGCTGCTGCTGCTGCTGCTGCTGCTGCTCCGTGTGGGGGTGCCCCGGATGGGGGCATGCCAGGGGGATTGTGGGGCATGACGGGGGGAGTGTGGTGCATGGGGGCAAGGTGGGCGGGCGGAGGGGGGAAGCCTGCGGGCATTATGGGCACTGGGGGGGCTCCTGCGCGGGAGGGTGCGCCTGGGGGGTGCTGGATGGCTGGTGCTGACCCTGCTGCTCCTCCTCCTGTTCCTGCTCCTCCTGCGGCTGCAGCAGCAGCTGCTGCTGCTGCTTCTGGAGCAGACTGGCTCAAAGCCGCCCCTGTTGCTCCAACCACCGTGCTTCCTGCTCCCGCTCCTGCCACTCCTAAACCTGCACCTCCCAACCCTACTGCTCCTGGGGACATAGGCCCCACCACAGGTGACGAACCAGCAGTTCGATCCCTGGACCCACCCTTAGCGTCTCCTTTCGCCCCCCTCGCTGTCGCCCCTCTTTGACTGCCAGATCTCTGCAGCAGTCCCCCGTCTTTCCTCTCCTCCTTCCCATCTTCCATCCTACTCTGCACCTCCTGCTCCCTCCCTCCTCTCCCCCTCTCCCTCCCCTTCTCCGCCCTCCCCTTGTCCTTCTCCTCCTTCTCCCTCCCCTTCCCCCGCCCCGCCTCCTTCCGCCCGTCCCTTTCCCTTGTCTCCTTCTCCTTCTCCCTGCCTCTCTCTGCCTCTGCATTCAGCAGCATCAGATCAAAGCCCTTTCTGGATCCTACAGCCTCCTCGCCTTTATTAAAGGAAGGAGTTTTTCTAAGCCTAGCTTCCATATTAAGCTCCCCCTCCGCCCTCCCTCCCACCCCTTCCTTGGGAGTTTCGCCTCCTAACCCTACCCCTAATCCGCCTCCTCGTCCTCCTATTCCTCCTGCCAACCCCCCTCCCATGTGCTTGTGTGTAACGCCTGCTGCTGGTGGCGGCTGAAGGGATCAGACAGGGAAAAGGAGAATAAAAACAGCAGGGGAAGAGAAGGATGAGATGGAGAAGAAAAGGATGACATGACAAGGATGGGAAAATATAAAATAAACGGATGAGATAGATGAAAAGACGGGGAGGGTGAGAAGGACTCATCATACGGCACTGTACATCAATTTTTGAGTCGACTCAAAAATTGACTCATCACACGCGAACGGGGAGGATGAGAAGGACTCACCATACGGCACTGTAAATCACACACACTCCCTCAAGCCTGCCCACCACACACCACACAGACCACACACACCACCACACTACACACACTCACCATGCCACACTCCCAAGCCTGCACCCCACCACACCACACCGTACCACACTGCAACACACTCTCACCACACACACCACACCCCACACACTCACCATGCCACGCG